GGGTTTCTTCGCGGGCACAGAAAGCCTCATCTTTCTCCCAAAGAGCAGCTGGTGGGTTCGAACTTCCGGGCCTGCAGTGAGCAACTCAACTCATAAGGGCGAGCCGAACTCTTCAGGTGTGCTTAGGAGCCCCTGTGGCGTTGTGGGTACAGGTTGGGCTGCTGACTGCAAAGTCAGAAGCTCGGGCGAAAGGTCGGAAGCTTGGGCCAAAGACGGTTCTTTCGACACTTGTACACTTGTGATAGAGTTGTGGTCTAGGAAACCCATGGGCAATTCCACCCTATCCGTTAGGGTCACTGTGAGTCTGCATCAACAGGATGGCTGTAATTTTGAGTGGGTTCTGAGCTGGGCTGCTTGCTATGCGGTCAGGAGTTTGAAACCAACAGCCACTCCTCGGGAGAAAGACGGGCCTTTCTGCTCCTGTGAAGAGTTGCCCTCTCGGGAGCCCACTGGGGTGGTTCCACCCTGTCGTGTTGTCAGCCCTCCACACGGCTGGTGAACCCTGAGCAAAGAGCACGGGTGTCAGTGAAGCCGTTCCGAGGTACAGTGATTTTGTAAGATTCCCTCCAGTTGTGTGCAGCCCACTCATGCTCACACACCATGCACAGAAACAGCCGTGCAGTCCCGTGACGATGTCTCGTGCGTTGTGACACTGGGAAACGCAGTGGGGAGCCTCCTTTCTGCCCTTGCGATCTCAGCGTCTGCGTGTGCATACCTGGCGCAGGTCTGGACACCCCAGGCTGCCTTCCAGAAAGGTTGGACTTGACTCCCGTGTGTGGATACTCGGCCTCTGGTTTCCGTCTGGCGGACTCTGCCAGTTTTATAGACAAGTGGAGGGGACCGTCCACTTGTTGTCTGCGTCTGCCCTGGCCGGTGACTCATGGGTGCGGCTCTTTCCCGGCGTGGGCTGGCACTTGGAAGCTTCCTCCTGTGACCCTCTGGAGAGGGGTGGTTTCCTGTCACGGGGGCCGCCCTAGTGGTGTTTGGTCACCATTGGCCGCCTTCCGTGCAGTGACCGTCAGCCATGAGAGGCCGGGTTCTCCAGGTGGCTCTTGGGCATGCACTTCCTGAGTGCTGCTGCCCACGTGGCGGGCTCCACGGCCTATTTCCTCCTGGTTCGCTGCTTTGGGTAGCAGGGCCTCTAACAGCATTGCTGTGCTGCTGGTGGGTCTGGTGCCAGCTTTTTATTGGGGTGGGGTCCGGGCCCCATCCAACGGCCCCGCCCACTTTGCCACATCACTGAGGGGCCAGCCCCACACTGGTGTTGCTCACCCTTGCCCTCCCTGTGGCCCCGTCTGTCTGTCCTCCGGCAGGTGCAGGTGCTGCCTCTCTGAGCAAGTGCGCAGGGTGGGCGGGGATTGCTGGTGCCTTTGGCCTGTGACTCAGGCCCAGATCCTCTTCTGGGAGGTTGGACTCTGCATGGGGGGGGGTGGGGTGGAGGAGGAGGTGGTGATGGAGGTGGCAGTGGTGGTGGAGGTGGTAGAGGAGGTGGAGGTGGTGATGGAGATGGAGGTGGCGGTGGTAGAAGAGGAGATGGAGGTGGAGGTCATCGTAGAAGAGGTGGAGGTGGTGGTGGAGGTGGTAGAGGAGGTGGAGGTGGTGATGGAGATGGAGGTGGCGGTGGTAGAAGAGGAGATGGAGGTGGAGGTGATCGTAGAAGAGGTGGAGGTGGTGGTGGAGGTGGTGGAGGCAGAGGTGGTGATGGAGATGGAGGTGGCGGTGGTAGAAGAGGAGGTGGAGGTGGAGGTGATCGTAGAAGAGGAGGTGGAGGTGGTGGTGGAGGTAGAAGTGGAAAAGGTAATGTTAGTTGCTCTCCATTCTAGCCCAGCACCCTGTACCCAGCTGTCTTTTGTCCACCACAGGGTCCCCCCAGGGGCCCTCACCCCCGGTGGCTGGTGGGCTTCCTTGGTCGTGAGACTTTGCCCTCTCTCGGTTTCTGGGATGATCTGCTGTGAGGCACAGGTCACACGTCCTAACCTTTGCGTCTGCCACAAATGCCCCTTTCGGTGCGCCCATTTCTGTTAAGAATAGGGAATGTGTGGGCGGTAGGGTGAGCCCTCGTGGGTGTGTGACGGCCCTCCCCCCCCTTTCCCACAGGGAGCCCTGCCGTCATGTTAAGGTGAAGCAGAGAGGCCCGGTGCTGAACATGCTAAGGAGGCTGGACCGCATCCGGTTCAGAGGTCACAAGCGCGAGGACTTCCCCGACCTGGTGGAGTCGCCCACCGCCTCGGACACCGAGTGTGGAGACGAGCCGCCCCTGAAGGCCCCTCGGAGCGTGGCGGCCCGAGACAGCGAGGAGCTGAGGGACCCCGTGAGTGCCTGGCACCCCCTGCCCTTCCCTGAGGGGTTGGGCAGGGAGTGCTGCCTATGGCCCCACCCCAGTGGTCGGGTGAAGATGGGGGGCTGGCATAGCTTGGGCAGTGGACTCTGTACCCCGTCTCCATAGGGATGGAAGAATGGGGAGCTGCCCCAGTCTGGCCTTGGGCCCTGTCCCGGGGGATGGGGGTGGGATGTTGGACTGAAGGGGGTGTCCCCTTGGGTGGCGGGGGGCTGTCCTTGTCCTCCGATGCTGAGAGAGCATGGCCCTCGTGGGTCTGCTTCTGCCAAGCTGAGGAGAGGCAGGCAGGCAGACACGGTGTGTCCCGCTCATTGTGACCTGTGCCCATGCCCGCCTCCCGCGGGGCTCATGGGGTGGGGCTCTCAGCCCTGCTCAGTGGCAGGATGGGTTCTCCCCTTGGGAGGGTCCCCTATTGGACCCTCTGCCTCCTGAGGGGTGTCTCAGATAGAAGGCACCCTTGGGAGCCCTGGCATGGGTGGGGGTAGGGGGCAGGCAGAATGCTGTCTGAGGCAGGGACCCCCACCTGTCTGCCCTCAAGGGCTTGTCTTGCCCACTTGGCTGGGCCCGGGTGCCTGTCCCTGAGTCTTGGTCAGCCCTGCAGAGTCTGTCTGGGACCGTGGGCAGTGTGCACCCACTGTGCACCTTGCTTGGCAGGGGACAGACACAGATGATCCCTGACTGCCGGAAGCTTTTGAAAATCAGCCCAGTGGTGGCGGGGGCCCCACTGTGGCCTCTTCTGGCCTCACAGAGCCACTGAGCTTGGCCTGGGCCTGCCATGGCCCTCAAGGGTGAGACAGTCTCCCGCCAGTGGTGGGTGCTAGTGGCCTCTGGGCCTGCCATATTGCTGCAGGCTGACAGGACGTGGCATGGGTGAATAAGGGACAGCTGCCTCTGGGGCCCGCCAGGCTGCAGGACACTGCCCTGCTTCTGGTGCTCACGGCAGCCCAGCCGCTGTGCAGAGGGCTGCGGGCGGCAGGGCTGGAAAAATAGCAGTCTGCCTGGAGGGCTGGGGTCCAGGATCTGGGTGGTGGGGACCCTTGGAATGAGGGTCTGGCCTGTGGAGGCGACCCTGACGGGGAGGGGGCAGAGCCATGGCCATGCTGTCTGTCTGTACTCTGTCCGTTCAGTCAGGGCTCGGGGGTCAGGGGAGCGGTGAGAAAGTGGATCCACCAGGCTCTGGTGAGAGTGGAGGTAGAGACCCAGCCCCTACCAGCAGTGCACTCCTGTTTGAGTGCACATGAGGGTGGGCAGCAGGAGGTGGGCCAGGGGGCTGGACACCTAACAGCAGTGCTGCCGAGGGTCCCAGCCCGCAGGCTCTGGCACAGGGCACGGGGATGCCCTATTGGGTGTGGGGACACCTGCTGTAGGGTCACCTTGGAGAGGGCTCCTGGGGTGGGGTACTGGGTATGGGGGTGCCTGCCGTGTGCAGTCACCTGGTAGGGGGAGCACCTAGTGAGTGGGGGTGCCTGTAGTGTGAGGGCATCTGGTGTGGGGATACCCGGTGTGGGAGCACATGCAGTAGGGGGTACCCATCTCCACTATGGTCAGGTGGGTAGAACCTGTGAGATGTGCCCTTCCCCAGAGCCAGGAGCCACTGGGATCGAGCTGAGCACTGGGTTCAAGCCAGGCCTGCCTTGGGCAAGCAGGTGGATGGTGAGGTCTGGGGGTTCCAAGAGAGGGGACCCCCTACCTGCACATCACCCCTCACACCACTGCCTCAGTCTGGCCCCGCGCCCTGCCCTCCCCGCCCGCTGGCCTACCTCTGGGAGCTCCTGTGAGCAAGAGGATAGGCTGGGTTCATTTGGGGACATTGACTGACAGTGTCCTGCCTCCAGGTGCCTTTACCTGTCAGTTGAGACCAGGAGAGATGCCTGGGTGGGGCTGTGGGTGGGGAGAGCACCCAGACTGGGGATTCGGAGCTCACTGGTTAGGGGGAAGAGGGAGGGCGTGTCGGCTCCAGGCCTCTGATCCTGCCAGTGGAGACCTGGGTTTAGTGGGCAGGGGGAGGAGTGCAGACTCTTGGGTGGGGTGGGGGGTGTCAGTGTGAGAGCTGACTGTTCTGGGGGCTCATTGGGGGCGCTGTGTGGGCACCCCTGATAGGGGGGCAGAAGTGTGAACAGACAGTGATGATGGTGCAGGGAGGGTCGCAGGGCCGGATGGGGGGTAGACAGCGGGGTCCACAGGGGACCAGGTTCTAGGTGCCATGTTGGTGGGTGGCAGGTCAGCACCTGGCTGAGGCAAGGGCCCAGGGTCAGGTCAGAGTGAGGCAGTGGCGGAGGAGAGGGATTGAGGCAGGGCGGCCCCATTCCCTAGTTGGTGGGGGGAGGGGGGGGCTTGATGTGGGGGACTGAAGGCTGGCCCCACCCTGAATCGGAGAGCCCCTGACACTTGTTGGGGCATTGTCCCTGTAGCCTTGTATCCTCCACTTCAGGGGGGTGGTTAGAGTGGACACGATACAAGCGTCTGGGTGCTGTCAGTGTGCAGGCCGCTGCAATTATTCATGACCGTGAAATATTGATGAGGAAAAGCTGCTCTCGGCCTCTGTGAGGCTCCTCGTGTCTGTCCTGCCCCCTCTGCTCTGGCCAGGAAAGGCGGGGTGCCAGGGGGAGGCCCGCACACACCCCTCTGCTCCCTGCCCGCTGTGCCCCCTCAGGCCAGGCCCTGATGGCAGGGACCATGAAATGACACCCCCCACCCCCCCCAGCCACCAACACCAGCCTGGAGCCCAGGTGGGGCCACACCTGTTCAGCAGGGGTCCCAGCCTGCTGAGTGGGGTCCTTGTGAGCCTGGTGTTCATGGTTCCCTTTTTCTTGCCTGCCGACCTCAGGCAGTGCCTGCCCTGTCTGGGTTCTGGGGACACTCAGGGATCTCAGCCTACAGAAGCTCAGGCCCAGGACGGGGCAGGTGAATGTCCCAGAGGTCAGACACCCCAAACCTGCTGTCCCTAAGGTTTCCTGTCCTCTTGGCTGCTGCTGCAAGCAGGGGACGTGGGTTATTGCAAGGCCACCCGATGCTGGCCTGGGCAGATCTGCCCGAGGGGGTCAAGGAGACGAGGCTGGGCCTCAAGCCCCTGGTGTGTGGGGGTGGGGTGGGTGGGAGGCCGCTGGGCCACTGTGGCAGCTCGTGGGCTGAAAGCCAGCCCCTGGCACGCCCAGGTGGGCAGGCTGCCCCAGCTCCTCCCCCTGCCTGCCAGCACCCGTGTCCCAGCTGCACATGGGGAGCCTGTAACCTGAGCAGCTGCTACAGGCCTGCCGAGTCCAGTCCCGGTGCCTTGGTCTCAGGGCCCGGCCACCACCCGGGTTGCCCTCTCAGCCCAGCTGGTGGGCTGTGGCTATGGCCTCTCCCTTACCCCTGTCCCCGCCCCTCCTCCATTGCCCTCTAGCACCTCCCTGTCCCCTGGCCCTCCCCCAGGTCCCTGCCCTGCAGCTCCCAGTAAGGGGCTCTGAGCTTGACAGGTCACATGCCCCGTGCTGTCTCGGACTGGCCCCGTGTGCACCCAGGCCTGCCCGCCTCCCCAGCTCCTCAGCGCCCAGTGGCGGTGGCGGCAGCAGTGAATTGCTGGGTGCCGCTGCCACCACCGCTGAAGGTCAGGCTGGTGACGGCCGGGGCCCGAGCCTGGCAGCGTTCTGGGTGGAAGTTTAGCCTCTTCTTAGTTGGTTTCCTAGTGGCCGGCTTTCTGAGGGGTCTGAGATGTTCCTGGCCCCAGTTCCGGAAGGCGCCCCACATCGCCCCCCTCGGGGCCTGTGCATCTTGGAGGACTGCGGGAGGAGGAGGAGGTGTTAGAGCTGCTTTGAGCGCCTCTGCTCTCTCACAGGCTGGCCCGGGGACCCTCATCATGGCTGCCGGAGTCCAGGACTTCAACAGGACAGAGTCGGACCGGCTGAATGAGATCAAAGGGCACCTGGAAATCGCCCTGCTGGAAAAGCACTTTCTCCGTGAGCGTCCCTTGGGGATGGGGACTGGGACAGCACAGGGGCAGGGACAGGATGGGGGCGGGAACAGCACGGAGGCAGGGGTGGGAGGGGACAGGACGGGGCATGGGGAAGGGGGTGGGTTGGATGACTTGCCTGCTGTACTGCCGTCGGGAGCTGGCTGGAGGACACGTGGGGTCACAATTGTGATCCGCATGGCATCCCCGGCAGTCTGCTGCCCCAAGTCTCTGCTGGGGCGGGAGGCCATTGTGGATCGGAGACGGTGTGGCCTTGGAGCATTTTCCCGGCCTCTTCACGGGTCCCGGCACTGGTTAACTCGGACTGTGTCAGAGTTTTGTGCTTCTGGAAAGTTCCGCAATTCCATGCCGAGCTGGTCTTGGGCCCTCTGCAGCTCAGCCACAGGGACACGTCTGCCAGATGCTCTTGGGAGATGGTTCTAGAAGGGGCTATGAGGGGCTGGGGGGCCCCGAGCTCTGCTGTGGTCCCCTGACCCTACTTTGGTGTCCTGCCTGCGTGAGAGGTGAGGGCGCTGGGGCCCACTGGGGAGTGCCTGAGCCTCCCTCTGAGTCAAGGCAGTAATCTTGGTGGCTCCCGGCAGGAGTCTGGACCTCATGGCTGTCAAGCAGGTCACATGGAACCTAGGTGCAGGGTGAGGGGTGGACAGTGCATTGGCTAAGGCATGCAGTGGGGCCTGGGACTTGCCCAGGGCTGGCAGCCAGTAGGTGCTCAGTGCACATGTGGATGAATGGGCACAAACTCACACCAAACTCATGGCCCCTGAGTTGGCCCTGACTTACAGCCACCCTGCAGGACAGAGTAGAATGGTGCCTGTGGGTTTCCGAGACTGCAATTCTTGATGGGAGTGGAAAGCCTTGTCTTTCTCCCTCAGAATAGCTGCTGGTTTCGAACTGCCGACCTTGTGGTTAGCAGCCCAGCATGTAACCACTACTCCACCTGGGCTCCATTCTGCCACAGGAGACCTTTCTGAAAACGTTGACAAGCATGGATATCACTCTGAGGACAAAGATGCGCCCCGGCCCAAGCCAGGGTGCTGTCAGCCGCCTCCTCTTCCCGAGCCAGGAAGACAGCAGAGGAAGCCATGCACCGGAAAGATGGCGCTGGAGAAGAATCGGGAAAGTACCGGGGACTGCTGGAAACTGTCCTGAAAAAGTGACAGTCAGAATGCTCCTTAGAGACTTCTCTCACATATCCTGGACATGTGATCGGGAGACACCAGTCCCAGAAAAGACATCCTGCTCGGTGAGGTGGAGGGGCAGCAAAAGAGAGAGGGACCTTTGGCGAGGTGGACCCACTGACCAGTGGCTGCCACAGTGGGCATCAACGTAGCGACTGTGAGGATGGCGAGGGCCAGGCCGTGTTTCGCTCCACTGTGGTCGCCTGAGTCGGAACCGGCAACTGCATCCGCTCCCTGCCTCTGAGTCCCTGCCGACTCATCGCGATGGCTCCGTACGGCGGTGTAGAACTGCCCCTTGGGGGGGGTTCTGAGACTTTAAATCTGTATAGGGGTCAAAAGCCTCATCGTTTGCTTCAGCTGAGCGGCTGGTGGGTTCGAACCGCTGACCTTGCAGTTAGCATCTTAACCCGTAGCATCCAGCACCATCAGTGTTCCTTTCTCAGGAGCCTGGTAGGACAGGTGCCCAGGGAAAATGGGGGCGGGGTTTCAGTCAGGGTAGGCTGTCTCCCTGAGATAGACGGAGGTCAAGCCAGGCGGGGAAGCCCCTGACTCCGACTGGTTCGAGCACTGGGAAGGCAAGGTTGGCCAGTTGTTCCCACTCGGCTCTCTGGCCACTGCGGCAGGAGCAGTGGGGAGGGTGTGGCTTGAGCTTCTAGAAAGGCCTCTTGCTGGTGAGTTGGCCAGCTGCCTAGAGATGGGCGGCCAGGCGAGCGTTCACTGAAAGAGGGATGGGGCTCAGCAGGTCGGACTTCTGTGGCTCCGGCCCCCACCCGACCAGGTGGCAGGGCTGCTTTCTGTCGGCCCCAAGCTCAGACGGCCGGCTGACTGGAAGGAGGTTTATTTAAAGTCTGTCACTTGACTTTTATTTCTGGCTGAAGTGGGGCCTGTTGGGTTGGGTGCCAGGAGGATCCTTGTTTGAGAGGTCTGCTCCTGCAGGTTCAAAGAGAGCCTCCAACTCCCATGCCTTTTGTTCAGCCCCTTCCCTGGGGGGCAGTCGGGCCCTGCTCCCTGGGCAGCTGCTGCAGCTCACCCAGCCCTGTGGAATTGACCGGGGTTGGTGGAGAGTGCCGTGGTGTGCATGCGGGAGGGGAGCACTTGGGGGGATCGGGGGTGGTGGGCACTGCCATGGGCCGCCTACCTGGTGCTGTTGGGGCTGGCTGGGGCTCAGGAGATGAACCCCCAACTTGAGAGCCGTGTTGGGCAAATTTGCTTCAAAAGACTAATCCCAGGTCAGCCGGCATTTTTCTCGAGCCCTCTCTGGGGATGCATGCCCAGTGGCATGTGAACGCAACCACATCTTTTCTTTAAAAAAAAAAAAAAAAACTTACTTAAACAATGCCACGACATGCTGTTAACTTAGAAATCAAACCGTGTGACGCTACATATTTATACGAGTTTTATAGTATCGAACGGTGTGCGGCATTGGGGGTCATGGGTTCATGGCTCGGAAGGGTGGAGTAGGTGGTCGGCCAGTCCACGCGTCTTCTTTTCCCCTTGGCGGTTACGCTTCAAGCAGTCTTTGACTGCGCTAGTCTGCGTCACTGAAGCCGATGCTCTCGTGACTGAAACCGGCCTCCTGGGGTTAATAACTCCATGCGCGGTCTCGGCACATTGACACGCTCCCGTGGAGAGGGAGGCCCACAGAGAGAACTCCCAGGTGAGAGGGCCTGGGAGAAAGTGCACGGGGACATCCTTTGTCTCGCTCGACGGACACACGTCAGCATGCATGGTGGGAGGTCAGTGCCAACGGTTTCGGAGATCGTCGCTGAGGAGATCGAGCTGCGTCCACAGGACACGTCCCGTGCCTAGCGTTCAAGTACTGACGAGCACAGAGCCCACTGGGCCAGGGTGCACCTGACGCCAGCAGGGGTCTGTCCAGTGCCCTCCGGTGCCTGTCTCGGCAGACGCAGAGCAAGGAAGAAGGTGCTGGAGAGGAAGAGGGGACGTGCCACGGACTCTCAGAAGGACAAGCGTCTGGCTTGGAGGAAGCACGTCTGGAATAGTCCTGAAAGGCCAGGGTGGCGAGACGTCTCCCCCTGCGCTCTGGCATGTCGTCAGGAAAACCAGACCCTGGAAAGGCCGTCGTGTGGTTGAGAGAGGAAGGCCCTTGACGAGCCGACCTGATAGCTGGGCTCCAACCTCAGGACACTTGTGAGGACGGCGCAGGACCGGGGTGCGTTCCGCTACGAGTCGGTGCTGGGCTGACAGCCGCAGACAACAGCCTGCTGTGCCTTCCATGCCCTGTGTGTCCACAGCAGTGGGAGAGGCCGGGCTCTGGGTTCTGGGGTGAGTGGAGAGGTGGTATTTAGGGCTGGGGGAGCTCGGGGCAGCTGGATGGGTGGACTGGGCAGACGCAGAGCAAGGAAGAAGGTGCTGGAGAGGAAGAGGGGATCCCACTCCTAGAGCACCTGTCCCCCTGGGTCGCCGGGCCCAGAGGTGACCTTCTGAGAAGCCAGCTCAGCATTTCCTGCCCTGCAGGCAGCCTCCCCCCACCCTGCCCCACCTCACTGGCAAAGGCAGGCGGAATCCGTGCCAGGCATCCTGCCGCCTGTGCCCTGTGGTGAGCGGTGCTATCAGTGACCTAAATGTGTCACCGTACTGGGCGGGAGCCCCACTCTTCAGGGCCCCAGCAGGGGTGCCCATGGCTAACTCAGCCTTTGTGTGGCAGGCACCAAGCAGGCCCTGCCCAGAGGGAGGCCGGGCAGGTGAACAGTGAGAAGCCCCTGGCCGCGGTTGTGTCTGTAGCACTGTGAGGGCCACCAGCTGAGAACGGGCCTTCCCATAGCTCCCGCTGAGCGAGGACTCGGGGACCAGAGCCCCCCACCCCAGGAGATGAGTCTCTGGCCTGGTGGCCAGGCCTCTCGGCTGGCTGGACGGTTCTGCTTAGCCTGTAGCTGCTTTGGGGAGAGGGATTCTTGGAGAGGGTCTTGGCTCCACAGAGCAGTGCCTGACCTCAAGGGTTCCTTCACTGCCCCCCACCACCCCAGGGCCAGTGGCAGCATTCTGGGGCCCAGGTGTTTGTCACTGGGGGGAACCCGTTGGCCAAATCCCAGCCTCCAATGTGACATCCCTCCCCGATCCTGGCCGTGGGAACATGTCACCTCACAGGACAAAGGGACTTCATGATGTGACTGAGTGAAGGGCCTGGAGGTGGGTGGGCATCCTGGGTTATGGGGGGGGGAGGGCTGATGTTACCCCCAGGGTCCCTGTAAGTGGCAGGGGCAGGCAGTGGGGCAGAGGTGGAGCTGAGGGTGCCTGGGTGTGCGCATGCAGCAACCAGGACTGTGCGTACGGAGGGTGTCGTAAGCAGGGGTCATGTGGTGACCTGCAGGCAGAGCGGCTGGAGGCCGTTGACCAGGGAGAGCCAGAGTGGGGACACTGGTCCCCTGCTGCTCTGAGGCCCCCTCATGGGGGAGGGGGTGAGCAGCTGTGTGGGGCATGTGCCCTTCCCTGAGGACCAGTGGAGGGGTGACAGGCTGACTAGGACAGGTAGCTGGGCACAGTGGGACCCACTCTCAGAGAGAGGCCCCTCCCCCTCCCTCACCTGGTGAGCACCTGGCTGGCAGGTGTCATGCAGCTGGCCCGGCCGTGTCTCCACCCAGCCAGCCTCCTTGAGCTCGGCATGTGCTGGGCTGTTGCTGGAGAGGGCCCGGAGTGGGATGGGGTGGGGGGAGCCTGTGGGAATTTCTGGACCTGTGGGGGCGCGTGTGGTGAGGTGGGCGGCAGAGGCTCCATCTCCGTGCCTGGGGAACCAACCACGTATGAGGTGAGGATGCAGCCTGGTGCTACAGGGACACCAGTTCCACCAACCAAGGGGCACAGGCACCCACCAAGTGCCATGGCCAGGTGGGGGCCAGCACCCAGCTGTTTATAATGTGACTGACACCCTCGTCAGGCAGGAGTGTCCCAGGTATCTGTCATGAGCATGCCCTGGGAAAAGGTGTTCCCATGGGTCCCCTGCTCAGGTGTGCATGGCGTGAGCAGGAGCCTGATGAAGGGTCAGGCTGGGGTCGCGCTGTGAAACCTGATGTCTGGGCCCCCCATAAATCCCACCCCTGGGGACTAGACTGGAGTCCTGAGCCTTGCTCATGGGGTCCTGCAGTGAGCTCTGATGCCTGTGCCCCCAGCATTCCCCGCCCCCCTCCACCCCCCAGCAACCTCCCAGTGGGCCTGTCTTGTGGGGACATGGTGGTACCCTGGTGGAAGGCTGGGGTGTGTGCTGCTCAGCCTGGGTGTTGGGGTCCGTGTGCTCCGTGTGGGGAACCTGGGTTCTGGGGTGCCAGCACTTGTCCAGTGGGGCGGCCTGGTCACAGGGTCTCCCCAGCTGGCGGGGTCACCACGTTTGTCACTGACTGACACAGCCTGGCCCGGGGTTCAGAGGTGTACGTAGGTGTATGCCCAAGTGTGTGCACAGGTGTACCTGCTGCCGATCTCAGGCGGGGGTGGGGAGGGCAGCAGGTGAGCCCAGGCTCGCAGGTGCACTTCCAACAAGAAGCCCTGAGCAGTGTCCATGCAAGGTGGTGGGGGGGGGTCTTGTTGGCCCCCCATAGAGGCTGAGGTGGTTCTGCTCTGCGCTGTCCTGGCATGGGCTCCTGGTGGTGTCGAGGTGGTGACTGTGGCCCCCTCCTACCCTCGCCCCCAACACCCACAGAGGAGGAGCTGCGGAAGCTGCGGGAAGAGACCAACGCCGAGACGCTGCGTCAGGAGCTGGAACGGGAGCGGCAGAGACGGCTGGAGCTGGAGCAGAGGGTCCAGGAGGCGCTGAAGGCCCGGTACGTGGGGCCACAGCTAGGTACGGGGACTACATCCAGGTATGGGCCACAGCTAGGTACAAGGGCCACAGCCAGGTACGGGGGCCACAGCCAGGTATGGGGGCACAGCCAGGTACGGAGGCAAACCCAGGTACGGGGGCCACAGCCAGGTATGGGGGCACAGCCAGGTACGTGGGCCTGGTGGTGGCCCAGGCCAGGGCCGGTGTCTGCTGCCCAGGGCTGGGATGTAGCCCGCGGGCCTCACCTTTGTGTGTGCCCTCACACCCCCTGCTGTCAGTGGTGTGAAGCCCTTGGCTTCTCTAGGTGCTCGGTCCCACCTCAGAGCATCAGGGGAGCACCTCCCCATGTCCTGGAGGGGTGTGATGGCAGAGCTGGGGGTCCTCAGCTTGGCCCCTGCTTCCTGGTTTGAAGCCCTGCTGTGTGGTTACAGAGAAAGGGTAGGTTTGTTGGGAAGGTGGCTGCCCTCCTGTGCCTCAGTTTCCTTATCTGTATAGTGGGGGTGTGGCAAAAGTAGTGGGAGCCCCAAATCAGGAGGGAGGCAGCCAGGTTGGGGTCAGGAGCAGGATGGCGGTGGGAGGAGCTCAGACTGCAGCACTCTCTGAGAGCCTGTGCCCTAAAGTGGGGGTGGCGGGGTGTGGGGGTGGGTGGGTATATACCAGGTAGGGACACGCTGGCCAGACCTCACTGTATCCTGGCCCTGTTGGTCATAGGGCCTCACTCTCCCACAGCACCCCACTGAGCTGGCATTGACCTCGGGTCTGCCTCGGTCCCCTTTCCTGGTGGGTGCCACCTAGGCCCTGGGGAGGAGGTGTCTCCTGTCCCCCTACCCCCACCACATGGGTGATATTCCCACCCCTTTAGTGCAGGCACTGACCTCTGCCCCATGGGACTCCCCCCATCTCCCACCACATAGACACTGTCTTCTGCCCCCCAGAGAGCTGAATGGGTGCCGTTAGGCTAGCCCTTGTTGCACCCATGTGCCCCCCCACACGGTGGCCAAAGCAGCCTGGGAGGTCTGACCAGTGGCCCCTGCATCCCACCTGACCCCTGAGCCCCTGACTCCCACTGTGCACAGCCCGCCCCTTTGGGGGCGCGTGTCGGCCTTGTGTTGGTCAGTGTCCTTTGTGAGGTGGTCGCCCCTTGGCCAGGGCTCAGGGTCGGCACAGAGCACGGCCATTGGGGCTGTCCCTGGTGGACTTTCAGAATCGCGTCTCCTGGCCTTTTCTCCCACGCTGCCTCTGGGGGGACTCGAACCCCTTGGGTGCCTCCAGGAATAATGAGCTTTAACAAAAGACCACTGGGTCCTCTTCATCCAGGTGTGATGGCCTGACCCCTGGGGGTGGGACAGCGTGCAGCGGCCCTTTGAATCTGCT